CACTCCAGAAAGGTCAGGGGGGACACTCCAGAAAGGTCAGGGGAGACAGTCCAGAAAGGTCAGGGGTGACACTCCAGAAAGGTCAGGGGGACACTCCAGAAAGGTCAGGGGTGACACTCCAGTAAGGTCGGGGGGCACTCCAGAATGGTCAGGGGTGACACTCCAGAAAGGTCATGTGGGCACTCCAGAAAGTTCAGGGAGGACACTCCAGAAAGGTCAGGGGGACACTCCAGAAAGGTCAGGGGGCACTCCAGAAAGTTCAGGGGACACTCCAGAAAGGTCAGGGGGACACTCCAGAAAGGTCGGGGGCACTCCAGAAAGGTAGGGGGGGCTCTCCAGAAATGTCAGGGTGTCTGGAAACCAGCACCATTGTCCAGAGTGGGGCCCAGGGACAGGGAGGCCAGCAAAGGCCAGGCCACGTCAGGCTGGCAGACACCAGCGAGGCCTTCACCAGGTGCCGTGGGGTCCACGGGGACACTCGCTCTGGGAGGAGAGCGCTACGTGCAGGCAGGCTGGGCAGCTGGGCGGTGGGTCCCGTGTGATAACCAGGGGGAGCTGGCCACGGGAGCTCTCCCCTCCAACATGCTGCAGGAAATCAACCTGAAAATCGCCCACGAACTGGAGCCAGGTGATAGACCCAGCCCGACTCCCTCTTAAAACTGGGAGCCATCTCGCCACAAAGCCATGAAAAGCTAATTTCGGCTTTCCTATAAATTACTGCAGATTCTGAACCTGCTTGGAATGCCTGCCGTGCCTTGAACTCACCCCTGCCTGGCTCTCCGACAGTTAGCAGCCCTCTCTGAAACTTTAGTGACGCCTCACAAACCTTGGCCTTCCCTGGCCAGATGCCGACCCTCTCTGGGGCTCTAAGGACCTTCATAGATTCTGATGTCGGGGCCAGTAAAAATGTCATGCCCGCCAGAGTTTGCTACCTATAACCCGCCCCCCTTGTGTGCCTTTCTGGGCTGTAAAGCTGGGCTGCAGGAAAGCTGGGGGCTGTCTTGTTCCCGCAGTTTTGGGAGGGAGAGGAGCCCGGCCGGGGGAAATGATAAGTTGCTTTAATTTGATTTGATGGAGTCAGTGGTCTTTTCTTGCGTCCTGGTCTACCACCAGGCCTACTCCTATGTTGCAAGGCCCCGCCCGTCTACCTGCTCCCCACTAGCAGCTCCAGACAGAGTCCACAAGCAAGGCCGCCTGTCCTCCTGTCCCAGACCTCCACGGAGCCTGCCTCCCAGCAGGGGACCTCGCGGTGGCAGCGTCACACAGCCCAGAAGCCTCGGACCCTGACCCTGGATTCTGTGATGTGCCCTCGCCTGGAAGGAGGTGTTTGCAGACAAGGGAGCGAAGGTGCAGTTGGCGGGGTGGACTGTAGCCCAACATGGCCAGTGTCCTTGTGAAACGGGGACACGCAGACGGACCGGAGAGGGAGAGTGCCGCGGGCACAGGGAGACGAAGTCAGCACCAGGCTCCTGCAGGCGGGCAGCACCAGCAGCTGGGGGTCTGTGCCCAGCCTCTGTGCTTGCTACAGCAGCCCAAGAAGGGTGCATTAGGGCAGAGGAGTCCTGCCCAGGTCATCTCTACCCAGAATCCAAGTGCACTCCTCCCTTGGCCCTCTGACCACAGGGGGCAGGGTCCTGGTGGGCAGGCCAGGAGACCCAGGGACGCTGCCATCCAGAGGCAGCATGCCCCCACAGTTGTCACCACAATAGGCAAGAGCCACCAGGGCCCCAAATATGCTCGCTAGAAGCCCCCTGTCCACACGGCCTCCGTCTACTTCCACTTTTCTCTCTGAGACTAAAAACAAGTTAGATCCTGAGCCGGGCGGAGTCAGCCACGCAGGAAGCTGGAGCTCAGGGCTGCTGCTCTCCAGGAATGGCCTCAGGCCATCAGGAAGGGGGAGCTGGGGGCCAGGATGGGACAACACAGGCCAGGAGGGAATAAAACCCAGAGCCCCGGGCCTCACACACACACTCACCCACACACCCACACACACACCCACCCTCCTCCAGCACACCCACCATGGCCGCCTCCACCATGTCCCTCTGCTCCAGCGACCTGAGCTATGGCAGCCACGTCTGCCAGCCCGGCTCCTGCGATTCCTGCCCAGACTCCTCCTGGCAGGTGGACGACTGCCCAGAGAGCTGCTGTGAGCCCCCCTGCTGCGCCCCCAGCTGCTGCCAGCCCAGCTGCTGCACCCAGGCCCCCTGCCTGACCCTCCTCTGCACCCCAGTGAGCTGTGTGTCCAGACCCTGCTGCCAATCAGTCTGCACCAGCTCCTGCACCCCCTCCTGCTGCCAGCAGTCTAGCTGCCAGTCTGATTGCTGCAGCTGCTCCCCCTGCCAGCCATCCTGCTGTGTGTCCCTCTGCTGCAAGCCCGTGTGCTGTAAGCCTGTGTGCTGTGTGCCCCTCTGCTCTGAGGCTTCCTCCTCCTGCTGCCAGCAGTGTAGCTGTGAGCCCTCTTGCTGCTCCTCTTCCCCCTGCCAGCAGTCCTGCTGTGAGCCCTCTTGCTGCTCATCCTCCCCCTGCCAGCAGTCCTGCTGTGTGTCCCTCTGCTGCAAGCCTGTCTGCTGCAAGCCCGTCTGCTGCAAGCCCGAGTGCTGCAAGCCTGTGTGCTGCAAGCCTGTGTGCTGTGTGCCCGTCTGCTCTGAGGCTTCCTCCTCCTGCTGCCAGCAGTCTAGCTGCCAGTCTGACTGCTGCAGCTCCTCCCCCTGCCAGCCGTCCTGCTGCGTGCCCGTCTGCTGCAAGCCCGTCTGCTGCTACAGACCCTCCTCCTGCGTGTCCCTGCTCTGCCGCCCCGTGTGCAGACCCGCCTGCTGCGTGCCCGTCTCCTCCTGCTGTGCCTCCTCCTGCCAGCCCAGCTGCTGCCGCCCGGCCTCCTGCGTGTCCCTGCTCTGCCGCCCCACCTGCTCCCGCCCGGCCTGCTGTGGTGTCTCCTTGGGCCAGAGGTCCTGCTGCTGACCAGCCATGTCCCCAGGGCCAGCGGGCTCAGGCCCCACTGGGAGGTGACAGCCATATCCTGAATTGCTCCCGTCCTCTGGCTATTTCCTGGTGTCTGCTGGTCCAGCTGCTGCTGAGCTGGACGATATAGAAACACTAAATGTTTATACTCAGCTTTTTGGAGGGCTCCTGGCAAGTCCCTGTCCCCTATGTGGTCAGCAGTCCCAACCCCTGGCCCTCTGCCCCTTCTCTGGATTCACTTGAGCAAACCGACCCATAAAGGCCCTCGACTCTGAACCTGCACTGGCCCCATGTCCCCACTGTGCTCCGGCCTGGGCCCCTGCGCACAGCTCTGCTGTCCCTCGGATCCTCTGAGCTCTCCTGGGCCTGGGGCGCGTGGTGCAGGGATCTGTCTTGGCCGGGAGAGGGTGGGGCTGGGCTTTGAGCCCTTGGGCGTCTGGTCGGGATCCTCATGGGATGCCCCACCTTGTGCCGTATTCACTGGGTTCCGTAGCTTTGCCCTGTGACCCCCCCTCCTTCCACACGGCACCTGTCCAGTCGGGAGCAGGACCTTCTAGGTCTGTTTTTCCAGCGCACTGTCAAAGGCCTCCTGCGAGAGTCCGTCTGTGCTGGCCGCGACCCTGCGCACCTGCTGACCTCACTGTGGTGTGTCCCTCCGACCGTTTGGCACCTGGACAGGGCCGGGCCCTGAGAGTCACCCTGCACCCCACTGGGTCTGGTGGGGAGTGGCTTGGCCTGAACAGACACCAGGGGCCTTCTGCAGGTTTTAATAAACGTTTTAAAATTCACTCCTGGAATGAGCTGCGTGGGAGCTGCTGGGAAGCCCTCGCTCCTTCCCGTGACCCTAGTGAACTCCAGGCCCAGAGGCAGAGGGGCAGGTGCGGGGCCTGCCCATCACAGGTGCCCACGCTCGCGGGGGCCACGGGGTACGGGATGGAGGAGCCCTGCTCGGAGTGTGTGGGCCGAGCGGAGACAGCCACTCCCGGCCCCGAAGCTCAGGGTGTGCACCCAGCCAGCTCTGGTCGGGGGAGGAGTCTGCTGGGTGGCCCCTGGGGACACTGGACCCGCCAAGGCCTGGGGGCTGCCACCCATTTCCCCTGGGGTTTGGCTGGGCCTCAGCTGGACCCTCGTATAGCTGTTCCGCTTGCTGAAGCCTCACCACACGAGTCACTGGGTGAGCGATCCCGCGAGGGAGGCCGTGACTGCAGACTCCTGTGGAGCTGGCAGGGTCCAGCTGGGAGACCAGGCCGTGGGCGGCCGGGGCAGCAGGAGTCTCGTGGGTTGGGAGGTGGCTGGAGGTCTCCCAGCGGGGAGGAGGCCGACTAGTCTCAGAGTCAGGGAAGGTCGGAACCAGAGGAAGGGACGGGCCGGCGGCAGAGGGCAGGAGCCCTGCCACCAGGACTGACCGAGGCCACTTGTCCTCTCACCCAAACACCTGGACAATGGAGTGTGTGACTGTCTTCACACAGCGGGGCTGTGGGGCCCTGGGGCCCTGGAGAAGGGACCCGCTGCAGCCCACCAGGAACCCGCCGAGTGCTCTCCTGAGCTCTGGAAACCGGAGCGCGGGGTCCAGGCAGCTGGGAGCGCCGGGTAGCACAGGAGGAGGGGGACCTACCCAGGAAAGTGCCCAGGGCCCCCGGACCCACTGCCATGTTCCTCGGCTCGTGTGGGGCTCGGAGCTCGGGGCCTGGGAACGGTTCCCAGAGCAGTGGAGCTCAGGGACGCTGAGACCCAGCAGCCAGAGAGGAGCCGCCGAGCACCCGCAGACCTGGGGAGACCTCCCGGGCACCCGCCTGGGTGAAGGTGACCAACAGGAGGCCGAAGCCACTCCTCCCGCGGTCACGGATCTGCAGCCAGCGCAGGTGATCCCTGCAGTCGTGCGCGAGGATCCGAGAGGAGCCGGGCTGGAAAGAGCATCAGCGAGAGACACCAGAGAGCCATCGGCAACCGGCAACCGACTGAGGGGGCCGTCGGGAGAAAGGGCCAGCGAACAAGAAGACACAAGAGAAACGAAGCCAAAGGGCAGGAGGAGGGACAGCGGGGAACTTCACACAGCCTCGGGGGTTGAGGCTACAGACACATAAGGAGGCAGAAACCTAAAAACCGCCAAGTATTCACCACCCAATGCGATCAAGTTGGTGAACAGAAAACTTGAAATGACTCTCTAAGCCAGCCGCTGACCAACACGACTGCACTGTCCCCCCACACGGGGCCACGCACACTGTCCCACCCCACGGGGTCACGCACTGTTCCACCCCACGGGGGCACACGCACTGTTCCACCCCACGGGGGCACACGCACTGTTCCACCCCACGGGGGCACGCGCACTGTCCCCCCACACGGGGGCACGCGCACTGTTCCACCCCACGGGGGCA